ACTTTATTTCACTGCCAAATTAGTATCACTGCTTTTATCAACGCGATTGTATGTCATGATACCAGCAAGAGCAGCAGCCAGGCTTTGTAACCCGGGCCTCTTGCAGCCCTTTGTTCCTGGCTGGAGAAGATTGCAGCCATCAAAACAAAAGAGGAACCATTTTCTCTCCTGGGAACAGATCACCGAGTTCCCATTAAGGCAAAACAAAATTATGCAATGAGTCAAGGCAACAGTGCTGGGCATGTGGAGTCTTGTTGTGTGCTCTGAGCACTCACATTCCAGCAGGCAGCCTCCCCGTGCAGGAGAGCAGCACGAAATGGTGGGAGGCTCCAAAGGGCACATCCAAAACTCCCCAGGTGTGCAGGAAAAGAGAGATGAGTCCTCAGGTGTGCAGGAAAAGAGAGATGAGTCCTCCCCACCCCTGTCCTGGCAGCACCTCTGTGGCCTGGGAGCTGTTTGTGACCCTGAGAGAACTCGTGTCCTCACCAGATACTGCACAAGATGACTCGAAAAATTACATAAAATAATTTGTAAACACCACTGTGGCTGCCACAGGCTTCTTTCCAGTGGGTTTAGTTGAGAGGAAAACACTGGGGGATGGATTTGCTGTTATTTTTCCTGATGAGCCAGAACCTCAAGCTGCTCTGCTGTGGAAAAGAGATCTCAGAGTCAGGGGCTGAAGTTTGGCTGAAGCATTTACAAAAGGAAGGACTGAGTTCATTGAATGTGTTGAATTCCTTTAGGCACGAGGATAGAAAACACAATTCCTCTACATTATTGATAAAAATATTTTAATTAAAATAGAATTGTCTTTCTGGCAACTTCTCTGGCCCTTCCCATCCATGGGATGCTTCTGCTCAACTATCTATATTCTCTTTTTGCTTTTCTCTTGAGTGAAACCATCATTGCTTGGGTTCACTTAAATGTAAAAATGTAGAAGCATAAAGTTATACTATACATGTAAAAGTGTAAAGTTATACTGTACTCCTGCAAATCTCTGGATTTTGCAGGAATATCCCTGATGGAATACACGTGGAATATCACTGATGGGTTACTCAGAGGTGTGAGTGGACTCAGAGCAAACCCTGTTCCTCCAGTGCAGCATGAATTGCTCTACTGTTCTCGCAATATCAAATTTTAGCCTGATTTTTAGCCAGTGTTCTTCCTTGTGAGAGACTCTTATTACAAAACCAAGCCAAAAAAAAAAAAAAAAAAGGAAGATCCAAAAAAAGTGAGCAGCTTAAATCCTTCAGGGCCTCAGCATTAGAATAAGGGAGTCCATTGTTTCCTATTAATGCTGCTCCAATCCTCTTAATAAAGATAACAGGCTGGCTTGGGCACATTTATAGCTACAGGTCATTCTTTCCAGCTGACACAGATAATGGTTGGACTCAGAACAATTGGTCTGATGTGGGTAAAAGCTGGTGGGCTCCTGGAAGAGAAGGAATGAGGGATGGGTGGTGTAAAGAGAGAGGAGGGTCTGAGCTGTGGCTGTTGCTGAGCAGGCAGAGGTCAGGGGGTATCTGTAATAAAAGCAATAAGCAAAGTTCAGTGGGAAGGGGGAACTGCAGTGTTTCCATGGATAAAGGCACTGAAGAGGGAAAAGGGGATAAAGGGGAACTCTTTTAAAAATAAGGAAATAAACTGTTCCTGTTATTTTTAACTTAAGGTTCTAAGACTGAAATGTG